GCGGAAAGAAGCTATCTGAGAACCACCTTTGTTTACCATGTTCAGGGTGTAATCAGCACATTCCCTCTGCAAGACTTTATCACCACCGACGGCTATGCATTCGAGGTAAGTAAATTCACACATAGCACCAACTATTCGCGAAAATGATTAAGAGATATTGGAAACATACAACATTGTTCACCTGTAACCACATGCTTTTATTACTTACAGCAGGTACAGGAAAGGCATCAAAAGGTGCAAAGATCCCCACTCGACAACCGTCTTCAGATCAACCAGGTGAGTTTCTTAAGATATTTAATGATTTAAAAAGTGAATGTTTGACAACATAGGTTCTGTCTTGTGTAATAACTGTGTTTATATTGTATCTTCCAGGGAACGTGAACCCACATCGTCCTCTCTCACCTCAACCAGGATCGTCTAGATCACTCTCACCTCAACCAGGCCCGTCTAGAATAGTCTCACCTCAACCCGGTCCGTCAAGGGTTATTACACCGGAACCACCGCGTGTTTATGTGAATAGAAAAAACGGTGATAGCGACAGTGAAGTGCATAGTGAAAGAGAAGACGATGATGATTTCGCAGAGGCGCCACACATTATATCTAGGAGGGAACTGTTTCAAGGGGCGTCCGTAAGGGTGAACTTTAGTATTCCCGACCAAGACCAGCCGTCACCGGCTGATTACTTACGCAGAAATCAAGAATATTTCACGGACATCATACAAATTCATCGCTCTACACTCGGCTGCCCTCCCCCATCCACAAAAGCATTTACTGGATTCACCATCACCCTCTCCAAGACAGATCTCACATCCGGCAGTGTGACACATATTGAAAAAAATATCACACTATGCAGCTATGCAATTTCTAGTGAAGACGATTGCAAAAGAGCCGTATGCGGGTGGGTCGAGGAGGCAGAAGCTAAACTCGAAGAGTGGTTGTCAGACGAGGGAAGTGCACTAGACCTGGAAACCATTAATGCACACAACATAACAATATCACAACTTCTACTTCCCCAAGCTATTGGGCGTTATGTGGCTTACCCTGCAGATGCTCGAGGAGGTAAGAGTATCTTCAATCCCAAGGGAAACACCGACTGTGTAATACGATCCCTCGCAGCCGGAAAATTGCTAGCTGCGGGTAAATCATTACGTAACCTACCCAGATCGGTTAATACCCCCACCAAATGTGCTCGACACATTCGATACGATGCGTCAAAGCTTCCCACCAGTTGGGAAACTCTCGGAGAATTGGAAAGAGATAATAACCTCTCTATCTATGTATATACTCTCCGAAAAACATCCATATTCAGCGGAAATAAATACGCGATAGGACAGGTGAGAAAAGGAAGAGAAGACAACAAGAAGCGTTTGCGGGTATTCCATGTTAACGGAAGGAAGCCTTGAGATTGTTATTACCCGGTTGGGGGCAAGGGGTATGAGTCTTTTAAAGAGAGGACTTCGAATCTTTTTGAGAAATGAAGATGGTTTACACACAATGCTGGCACGTTCCAGTCGTTTTAACGGGTTCATTAAACACCGTCCGAACACGCTGTTTGAGAGAGTTTTAAAACACATTTGTTGTGCTTTGTCTGTGGCTTCACGGCGCGCCTTAATATTCTCGTGAATAAAAGGTGATAAAAATTCTCGTTGAGAGAATTCATATACTTCGCACACTCGTTGCACCTCCACTCCCAAGTCAATTAGCAGTTGCAAATGTTTCAGAAGAATGAGGTAATCCTTCTGCGGGAGATGTGATGCAACTAGCTTTGTATTTTTAGCCGGTAAGCGTCTGTTCTGCGATGCTAGGAGGTGTCTGTTATGCGGGGATATGTCTTGGTGTCTTATGTTCATGTGGTGAATGAGGAGAGGCAGTTCGTCTGTCTTTCTTGCAACTTCAGGAGGTACTCTTAAATCAGCCACTATCCAATGTCCGATATCACCGCTTTCATCGTGGTTAGATAACCCCGCTGCAGTGAACTCAGTCTTTTCATGAGGTGATAATTTTCGTATGTTGCCAAATGGTAGTTTTTCAGACATTACACTGGCATATAGACTATTAAAGTCTAGATACAATATAAAGTTGCTTTTTTCCTTTAGCGGGTCGTGATGCGGGTTGACGAGGGTGTTTTTTGCCGTTGTAAGAGGGCGAACGCATGTTGTCAGTCCTCCTCTCACCGAACGCTGAATTTTGTGAGCTAGTTCGGGGTCTGATATAAGGTCCAGGCTTGTTTTGGTCATCTTTAGGAATGCGTCATATGCATACCCTGGAAGACTAACATAATTTACCATGTCAAGACCATACTTTTCAGTGAGCATGGACCTCCATGCTGTGACCACATCGGCTAGCAAACCCACATCCACCCTCAAGTAGCACTCCAAGTAATCTCCCAGGGTGCGGCACCCTGCTGCATCCCAGACTTTGTGTGCGTGTGCATATTCCTCCTCTGTGACCGTCTCACCTGTGAGAGAACTATAAAAGTTTTCTATGGAAGGGAGGCATGTGTCTTCGAGCTTCTTCAAATCGTCAAGGTATTCATACGGGAATATGCCCTTCCCCGTTAAAAGTAATGACTGGGCTTCGTCCGACAGGTGATTTATAAGGTGTTTGGAATAGCGGAGTGGTCGCTTACTCTCTATGTGTGTGCTGGCGAGGGAGCTTAGGCCTGCGTTCATAAATGCGAAGCTGTCGAGGAACTTAAGGTTGTTTAGTTCCACAGAGTGGTATCGAAGACCTTGTTTCACAAGGATTCTGATTCTTGGGTTAGGTAACATTTCTTTCAAAATCAACCCGAGATCGTATGAGTGATTATGAGCTAGACATGGAATTGTTGTGCGATGATTTTTCATCTGGAGGTTGCAGCGAGCGCAATAGGCTCCGATGTAGTTCATGAATTGTTTGGTGTGATCGTGGTGTCTGTGCTTCTGACGTTGCGAGGGAAATTTTTGGTGACATAGTTCGCACTTTTCTGCTTTCTTAAAAGCTTCTTCATCTTCATCGGACATGTGGAGGGTGTGGTAGGGCATGTTTTTTACAATGTCTGCCCATTTGTTAGATAATTTTTCGACAAAGTGTGTGGCAGCGTCAGCTCCTTGATATAGGAAACTGTCCACCACTTCACCTCGTCTATCTATTATGATGTAGCTATAGGCACAGGCTTTGTGTTGAGCTATACATCTCCTTCCTCCTTCCGTCTTGTCCATGAAGGCTTCAAAGTCATAGATGCAGATGTGAGACGGTGCAAATGTTTTCCCGTAATTTTTGAAGGTGAGTTTCGATCCCTGAGGCGGGTAATTAACCTGTATCGGCATCTCACACCCTCTCATGTGGGTTTCGGCTAATTTCTGATCGGGAAATGCGGTGAGACACGTGCGGCAAAAGTGTTTATGCGTGCTCCTGCCCTTTTGTGAGAATGCATCTATAAATCTATTAAAGTCTGTAATCAGGCAGGCGTGTTCATCTTTCAGAAGAAGTAGGTGAAGACGCAAACGCTTCTTGTTGTCTTCTCTTCCTTTTCTCACCTGTCCTATCGCGTATTTATTTCCACTGAATATGGATGTTTTTCGGAGAGTATATACATAGATAGAGAGGTTATTATCTCTTTCCAATTCTCCGAGAGTTTCCCAACTGGTGGGAAGCTTTGACGCATCGTATCGAATGTGTCGAGCACATTTGGTGGGGGTATTAACCGATCTGGGTAGGTTACGTAATGATTTACCCGCAGCTAGCAATTTTCCGGCTGCGAGGGATCGTATTACACAGTCGGTGTTTCCCTTGGGATTGAAGATACTCTTACCTCCTCGAGCATCTGCAGGGTAAGCCACATAACGCCCAATAGCTTGGGGAAGTAGAAGTTGTGATATTGTTATGTTGTGTGCATTAATGGTTTCCAGGTCTAGTGCACTTCCCTCGTCTGACAACCACTCTTCGAGTTTAGCTTCTGCCTCCTCGACCCACCCGCATACGGCTCTTTTGCAATCGTCTTCACTAGAAATTGCATAGCTGCATAGTGTGATATTTTTTTCAATATGTGTCACACTGCCGGATGTGAGATCTGTCTTGGAGAGGGTGATGGTGAATCCAGTAAATGCTTTTGCGGATGGGGGAGGGCAGCCGAGTGTAGAGCGATGAATTTGTATGATGTCCGTGAAATATTCTTGATTTCTGCGTAAGTAATCAGCCGGTGACGGCTGGTCTTGGTTGGGAATACTAAAGTTCACCCTTACGGACGCCCCTTGAAACAGTTCCCTCCTAGATATAATGTGTGGCGCCTCTGCGAAATCATCATCGTCTTCTCTTTCACTATGCACTTCACTGTCGCTATCACCGTTTTTTCTATTCACATAAACACGCGGTGGTTCCGGTGTAATAACCCTTGACGGACCGGGTTGAGGTGAGACTATTCTAGACGGGCCTGGTTGAGGTGAGAGTGATCTAGACGATCCTGGTTGAGGTGAGAGAGGACGATGTGGGTTCACGTTCCCTGGAAGATACAATATAAACACAGTTATTACACAAGACAGAACCTGTGTTGTCAAACATTCACTTTTTAAATCATTAAATATCTTAAGAAACTCACCTGGTTGATCTGAAGACGGTTGTCGAGTGGGGATCTTTGCACCTTTTGATGCCTTTCCTGTACCTGCTGTAAGTAATAAAAGCATGTGGTTACAGGTGAACAATGTTGTATGTTTCCAATATCTCTTAATCATTTTCGCGAATAGTTGGTGCTATGTGTGAATTTACTTACCTCGAATGCATAGCCGTCGGTGGTGATAAAGTCTTGCAGAGGGAATGTGTTGATTACACCCTGAACATGGTAAACAAAGGTGGTTCTCAGATAGCTTCTTTCCACAGAGATGGCAGTGAAATCTGATTACAGCCATGGTGTACTGATGATTAGCGTTAGAGTCACCCTCCTTTTATATGGTGGATGCATTTCATAGAGTTTCAGGTCAGTGTATTTCTGTTTTGACATTTTTCAATGTCTTCTACGAAATTATTTTCGTACATACATAAGTTGAATATAAAGAATCGAGGTATATTTGCATACATGGAAATTTAAATTATTTTCTACTAAATCATATGATAATAACTGAGGTGACTTATCGCGGAATTATCCTATGCCGCAACAGGGCAATAATTAGCCTAATGTTTGTTTGTATCACAACTGAAGCGAATCTTGGGTGTTGTGTGGAGGCTGTTGTGGTTGGAAAGTGATTGTGTGCGCGTGAGCGTCTTGTGCAGTGTTTATACAATCGAAAATAAAAGTATGTATTGTATAACGAGTTTTTATAATCCTTTACACTTTATTGTATTCTTATCTTTGCCTTAGTGAGGGAGAAGAAGTAATTATCGATCGCTAGCAAACCTGTGTGACCTAGTTATTATTGATTTTCAGTCATTAGGAGAGGCGATTCCCTCATCTGTAACAGAATCAATTATCGATCTGATACAAGTTTAAACATGATGAATATTGCGGTGTGGTCGGGAGGGGACAATGAGTAAGCCATCTATAGCATCTGTTGTGTGTTAGACACCGCTGACTATGGGTAATGATTTCGGTTACGGTTA